GACGTTTGTCTGTCGGTACGGGACCTTTCAATTTGAAGTGATGCCATTCGGGCTCATGAACGCTCCTTCAACCTTTCAAAGGATGATGGATGGCGTATTCAGAGACCTGCCATTCGTCCGAGTATACCTTGATGACGTGGTTATCTTTTCAAAGTCCTTGGACGTCCATGTTGACCATTTAATTGAAGTGTTCGAGCTGATTGCTCGCAGTGGATTGAAGTTGAAGCTTGCGAAGTGTTCCTTCGCGCAATCACAGACGAGGCTATTGGGGCACGTCATCGGAAAGAAGGGGATTGAGGTGGATCCAGAGAAGACATCGATCATTTAGGACACCCCCGAGCCGCGCACCAAGACGGAGTTACGAAGCTTCCTTGGGCTAGCGGGGTATTACCGCCGATTCATCCCTAAGTTCGCAGAAGTCTCTGCATCGTTGCATGCTGCTACTTCTACCAAAGTCCAATTTGAATTTACGGAAGAGATGCGGACCGCCTTCCAGGAGTTGAAGAAGAGGGTGACGTCTCCTCCGCTGTTTGCGCTCCCGAAGTTTGACGAACCCTTCGTGGTCGAGACAGATGCATCCAACGTGGCAGTGGGAGCAGTTCTGGCTCAGAAGAAGGAAGACAAGAAGGTTCACCCGATACAATACGCCAGCAGGACGATGACGGAGACCGAGAAGAAGTACTCCACCTGTGAGAGAGAAGCATTAGCGGTGATCTTCGCGCTAAAGAAATTTCGGGTGTATTTGCTCTCAACGCAAAAGTTCAAGTTGATTACGGATCACCAAGCGCTTCAGTATGCGTTCAAGAAGAAGGACATCCACGGTAGACTTGCCCGTTGGATGGATTTCCTGGCGGAGTACGAATTCGAGATATTGTACCGCCCCGGCTCAAAGAATTGTGCCGCTGACTTTCTCTCGCGTCTACGAAAAGACGATGGCAGGCGCGAGGAGGATGAGGGGGACTTGGTATGTGCTGCCGCTTTTGCGAAAGGAGATATACTGGAAGACATGGAACCTCATGTGCGGGACACGTACCGTTATCTCGAAGGAGAAGAGATGGTCGAGCAAGATGCTGCGCAGAGGCGCAGAATCAAGAAGAACTCCAGGCGGTTCCTCGCCTGGAACGGAAGGCTGTTTCGCAGGATGAAGAATGGGATCAGAACAATCCCTTCTCGGGGGACTCGACTGCAGATATTGCGGTCGTTGCATTACGACATTGGCCACTGGGACGCTACAGCTACGAAGCAGTTCGTCCTTGACAGGTACTGGTGGCCGGGAGTTCATGGTGATATCTACGCCTACGTTCGTGGATGCGAAGGCTGCCAAAAGGCTGCCCCCATCCCGACGTACAAAAGCACGGCGGTGATACCAGTCTCTCAGCTCTTTGAGACATTCTCTATAGACTTTGCGGGACCCCTTCCCAAGACGAAGAACGGAAAACGTTACATCCTGATAGCGGTCGAACATCTGACTGGTTGGCCCCTGGCTTGGGCAACCGAGACCGCTACGTCTGCGGAAGTTGTCAAGTTCGTGGAGGAGGAGATCATCCATTCGTTTGGTCCCCCTCGGACCATAGTCTCAGATAACGCAACATGTTTCAGCGCGACAGCGTTGAAGAACTTCATGGTACAACAGGGAATTTCATGGAAACCGGTCCTCGCCTATGCTCCTATGTCCAACGGAAAAGCGGAGCGTATGGTCGGGCCCATCAAGCGTTCAATTCGGAAGACTCTGTTGGGACAGGGCGCCGCTAGCCACAAGTGGGAATCAGCGCTGAAGCTGATCCTGTACGGATACCGCCGACGCCGGCTGTCGGACGGGTTCTCCCCGTTTGAGCTGATGTATGGAGTAAAGCCGCCCGCGCAACCCCAGACCGAACTGAACCAAATCTGGTGGGGCGGCGTTGAGGCGCGCAACTTGGAACTGTTAGCGACGCTCGCGCTCCGATCGACGAGGGCGGCTAAACAGTTGGAAAAGAGGAGCAAGAGAATGACGGTTGTGTCGCCACGCCAGTTCGACGTACACGATCAAGTTCTGGTCGCCCGAGGAACAGCCCTAGGAGGGTTACAGAAGTGGCCCCTAGGGGAGTCGAAGTACTACGGCCCATGCCGGGTAGTACGAGCCAAGCACCCGCGGTACACACTCGTGTCGCCGGGATTGCGCTACAGTCGACGGGATATACATGCAAGACGTTTAATCCCTTTTATTCAGAAACCCGCACATCTTATGTAGGTGTGATGCATTTTAATATTTCGCATGTACTAGATTGAAGGCGATTGAGATTGATTTCGTTTCTTATGCATGAACTATCAGTGTTTGCTGCTTGAAGAACCCCTACGCACGGCAATTACCTTGCCATGGGAGGATTTGGGGCCACGATTTCCTCGGCGAACCTTTTTGGATTTCCTCTCCCGGCCGGGACTCTGATTGGCGTCTCTATGCTGCCGGGTTGTTCGGCGCAAGAGACGCACATCATCGAAGTACTGGAACTTTGTCGGATCGGCGGTGGGACAGCACAAGCGAAGAGAAGTGTCCTTGAGCTGCATGGCGAAACGTTCTGCGCAATCGTAGATCAGCGCCGGTTCCGTCCGTGCGTCTATGCAGACGGCGTGTTGGAGATGGTTAACGTCGGTGATGCGAAGAACGTAGACACCCGCTTGCTCCCGCGGCAGACGAAATAACCAGCTAACAGCAGAGCTGCGCCACAGAGGGAGTCTGGAGCTGGATCTCCCTTGGATGAAAGCCCCCGGCGGTGGGGCCACATGATCAAGAGAAACTGTTCCGTGGTGATCTGCTCGGATTACCCTCTGAATGTGCGTAAAGTGGTGCACGCTCGGGGAATAGTTCATCTGACGCTCGAACGCGGCGACTCGGGCCGCTTCCGCCACCCATAGGCGGTCAGCAGCACCGCGACCAACGACAAGGAACATAGCGTTGCAGACCGCAGACCGGATGCACAAGACGGTATTGTCTTGGAACGCTACGGTCCGGGACGTGCAAAGGTACCGGGAAGCGAGTGGGGAGACGTCGCGTGACATAGCAAAGTTCACTCGCTTCCTCTTCCCTCTATTCTGGCTACACCAATTGTCGATAGCCAGAATAGCGTCCATACGCGTTGAGCACTCCTTACCGAAGGAAGAGTTGAGGCCCCGGCGGGGGGTGCCGTTCGCAGAGGGCACGCGATCGAAGGTCATCGTGTAGAGAAGTATCATGTACTTCTCTGGACTCCCCTCTCCGACGGCGTAGTGGCAACCCTTGAACTCGCCGTTACCGCCATCAGAGCACCAGACAAATTCGACGACCCACTCTGGGTCGTCGCAGCAGGTGTACTCCGTCCCGTCGCTGTGGCTCTCGGTGAGCCCCAGCCGGTAGCAGCGGTCGCAGGTGAACCATGCCTTGCGAGCGAGGCGGGCCGATACGAAGGCCAACACATGGGCCCCGAAGAGAAGCCGGGCCCCGGCGGCAGATACGGCCGCTACGACAGACGCCGGGTTGCCCACTTCCTTATATTTGATTCGGAAAGAACCACCTCCTACTTGGTACCGAAGCGCAGAGACGTCGGAACGTCCCGCGTGCTCCCAAAGGTCAGGGAGATGTTCGGAATTACTTGGGTCTTCGAAGTCGATGAAGGGGCAATTCACGCCATGAGACGCTCTTTCGGTGACGTCCCGGCCGTTCTCTCGCCACACGCCCGCTGAACGGCGGGCGGCCCTAGTGGCGATAGCGCGGCGTGGTACCTTCCCGCCGGTGGAAGCCCTCGCCGTCTGCTTGGTTCGAGCCATAGTGCGCACAGGGAGTACCGCCCGAAGGACTACAGAGCTCCCGTGCGCGGCTCGAGACGCTGTGCGTTTCCGAGAAGTCCCGAAACGGGAACGACTGGAAACGGAGCTTCAGGCGACGCGCAGAGCACGCGGCCTGAGTCCCAGACGACGATTGACGTCAGCGACCACAGTCCCGGGCGACGCAGAGACCACGCGGCCCGAGGCTGACGCGAAGCTGACGTTGGGCAACCGGAATTCGGGAGACGCAGATGAAGCGCGGCTTGAAATTGACTGTTAGAAGTTCGACGGCGAGAGAGGCGCGAGGAGGCAGGGAGAGTGCAGTTCAGTGGCAAGGTGGAAAGACGGTGGCCGGGGGGGCCAGAGCGGTCACGCGAGGAAGCGGGGCCAGTATATTTACGTGCAGCGGCAGCCCCGTGGGCTGCCCTGAGGAGGGGGTCATGTGAGATATTTTTAGGGAAATATTTGCATTTTACTGTAGAGGGAGATTTTATTCTGTAGTCCGAGATTTTATTTGAATTTTAGAGAGGCGCACGCGGACGGCCCGGCGGAATCCGGGCCGGATGCGTGGACGCTTCTGGAAGGAATTTCGTAGAAATAAAAGAGAGAGGGTGACGGGCGCTGCGGGGAAGGGGGGACGACACTCGAAAAAAACCCTCACCACGAACGGCACGCTCCCCAGAACCGCCTCCCCCATTTCACCGACAACAATGTGCTACGGTACTACTCTACAATGGCGTTCCGAGCAAGAGACCGCTCTCGCGACCAGACGTTGGCGAAAGCCCATACGCAGGTTGCGCGATGATGTTGGGTGGTGATTGGCTTCCCTCCAAGTGGTAGCGGCTAGCGGGGGAGCCCCATGTTGTGGTCTGTGTTAGCTCATGTTCGGGGGTGTTGCTGTTGATTTACTTTTTGCCTCTTGCTCCCTTCCCCTTGCTTCTCTCCCTCCTCAACCCGTGGAGCCTCCTCTTTTCATCGCCGCCCCAGGGCGTGTGGGAAGTTCCAGCACTCATTCCTAATTTGCAATTAAAATCGGATTGCAATTCTGCACTTAAAATTGAGAGATGCATGAAAACCCGACCACACGACCCCCTTTTCCCCGTACACCTTGGAAGATAACCTTAGGGCACGGGTTCAAAGCTGTGAATAAGCGAGCAAACATGAGATGAAAGCTCCAGTTCAAGATGAACATGAGAGACAATTATTCAGCGGTCTTGGCTAATATGGAAAGCCAGGACAGACTTCTATCTGAGAAGGGGAGCGATGCCTGCGGCCCAGAGCCGGCAATGGCGAGCAATAAGGGTCTTAACCGGGCCAAGATGCTTATCACGAGAACAGAAAGAAGAAGATTAATGGAGGTGACTTACGCGACTCTGACGGTATTGTACGTGGCTGTTAGTTTCAGGTTGGGCTGGACGATTTTCATTAGATCATGGACATTACCCTTCCAGGCCGTCGGTGAATGGGCGCTTCTGCAGGCAACATTACTCGTAGTGAGGAGATTCCAGAGGAGCAACTGGAAACGAACGATAGAAGACGCTATATTGGACTGGGCTGTAGCGCGGGTTTATTTGGGTTGGCTGACTATAACCTGCACGTATGGCCTAGCAGATTACATATATTTCGGGTCGGCAGTACCGGGGTTTGTATTATATTTTGTCTTAAACCCCATAGAGGCGATCATGTTCGACTACTTCAGATGGGGCATTCCCATCGTCAGCCTGGCCTGGTGCTGCTTAGTCATCGATGTGCTAGAAGGGCGAGTTAACAGAGCGTACATCAGGTCCTTGAGAATAACTACCGTCTTTGGGCTGGGGTGGTCGTTTTACAGAGTTGCTGCGGGTCACGCTGACTTACGAAGAAAGAGCAAATTTGATGGCGGGATAGCCAGGCTGGTTAAGATCTTCACAGAAACATGCTACTCTGCGAGTGAAGATGAAGAGAATAGCAGATGTCGTACTATAGTGGCATGGCAAGCACCCGAGAGGCGGAGGTTCGGGGCTTTGGACGCTAGGGAATTCATCACGCGTACCCTATCCAAGAGCTGGATTTATGACGGAGATGCCTACGCAGCCTCTCCGGTTACCAATGTGTACATCTCAGCATTAATATATGCTGTCAATCTTATAGCTTTCGGAATTTCAGGCAAGTTCGTGGGCTCATTCGGCGAACGAGTGCTTCAATTTACTTGGAATAATGTTATGGACACGGTCGAAGTTGTTGGGTTCACTTTCTTTTTAGGTATCTCTGTGATGGCCATCATGTTCCCTAAGACGACCAGAGCTCACTTGACTTACAAAGTGATCCTCGTAGATTCCAGGTCTATGAAAAGATGGGGAGCTATGTTCTGGGGCGTATCCGCTGAAGAAATCAATGCGTGCGTTGAGGAGGTCGGGCCCTGTCAACTTCAGTTATGGAGAAGCGGGACGGGCTGTTACATGGGTCAAGGTGCAGTAGGTGGATCCAATGAGCGGGGAGTTAATCTTTACACAAGGAAGAAATACCTTGACGAAAAGTGGGGCGAGGAGTTCTCCGCAAGCCTCGTCGGGGAGGTAGTGGCCGACGCGCCAGGCGAGCCGGTATTCCACGTTGGTACGGGTAGCCGAAGATTAGGAGAATTCCACGACGACATGCTAGTGGGGGGGTACACCTGTGTTGCGTCTGATCGATAGTAAAGTCCACGACGGAGCAACCTGACTGCCCGATCTACGCCTCACGGCATACGATCAAAGTCGTGTCCATGCAGGATTGTTAATCTGCACGCATGGAACCAACGAAGGAAATGGATATGATAAATCAGGCTTGCGATTCTCGAAATGGGAATCTGAAATTCAGGGTTGATATCGCATACATGGCATATGCGCCAAATACAATATCCTGCCAGCGGCCATCGTTTTTGCTTTATCGAGAGGCACCTAGCTGGAGCATTACGAATGTAGCTCTGCATTAGCGATATAAGTAGATACGTTTGCGGATAGATATCAAAAGAAACCAATAACGAACAAAAAGAACAGAACAACACAGTGCTTTAATTCAACCAAAAGCCTAGTGCAACTAGTCCGGCATAGTCGAAGGCTCGAGAGGGCGTCAAGCATTGACAACCGAGCAGCGAGGAGACTGTTGAACCACTCGGCGTTATAGTTCGCGTTTGAATCTTAGAACTTCGCGCACGGAGTCAGCCTATCCAACTCGGCAGCCCTGTCCCCGGGCAACGGTGACTTGTTGCATCCGCTGCCCTTGGATAGTCTACCTTCCTGCTGTACGCCCCCCGTTTGTGGACAAACCGGAGAGACCAACTCCTCCCGACAGTTCCCGTCGTACACGGCACGCGCTCTCGGAAGGGTCGGCTTTTCAAGATCTGACTCGACGTTGAAGTCAGACATATATTTACTTCGGTAAATATTCTACCAACGCAGAGAACAAACTGTTACGGTTTTGATAAGGATTGAAGAAATTAAGGAACGCACTGGACATGAGACAGTAACATGCGCTGCATTTTGCAGAATGATCAGACAGCGTAGGGTGTGAGAAGGGTGCGCCTAGCCGCCGGCATGCCTAATTGCAGAGGTCATGCCGGGAAGCAACCCTGACGTGCCAGGTTATCAAAGCACAGAGACTGGAATCGGCGGGGTCAAAACAGAGTGGCGTTAGTACAGTAATACTAATGGCATAGCGAGATCCGTCATTGAAGGGAGCCAGATGACCGGCACTGAGCAGGGGCGGCGGTCAAATGGATCGTTAGAACAATGATACTTGTGAAGGGGTTTTCAATGGTACGCTCACTGCAGGAGATCTTCGGAATAAAAGCGAGTGTGGAAAATGACGGACCGCAAGGACAGACTGTCCATATCACAGTCTGTCTACAACAGTATTTAATAGGAGCGACGGCGACGACGAGTAAAGCCACCCCATGAGGATTACCCTTCCACGAAAGTATAATTTGGTAACATCTTTTTAAATTAACTTGAAAAACTACTTCCCCTTGCCCAAATGAGGTCAGACAGGTAGTGATGGATGCTCTGCGTTTGCTAATCAACCGGGAGGAGATACAGAATCTCTAGCCGTACTGGATCAGAGATTCCTCGAATTTTCTTTTATTGGTGCGGCAACACACAGATGTTTAGAAAAAGGTCTACAGGGGGGGTCGCGATGTAGTGCTACACTGTGTCAGTGGGCCGAAAACGGCACTATATCGAACCAGGCACTGTTAGATAATGAGATTTACGGCTTTTTTGCAACCACTTCCTTGCATCACTGCTCAGAAAGACCGCTCGCAGGACGCCATCACTCATGCTTTGTATCTTCACTACAGACTCAAGTCTAATCAAGCATTTCTGTTAGTAGTAGCTGCCGAGCCGTTGCATTGACTTCCTCCTTTTTCGCAGCCATAAATGCCAGCCTACACTTTTGCAGATGTCCAATTGCATCATCGACCCTGCCTTTTTCCGCCATAGTCTCTATTCGAGTTGGCAACTGCATAATATCTTTCCGCGGCGGCAGCGGCTCTCGGGCAGTACACATGTCCATCTAACTGCCTCCCTGGAGACCCTTCGTTTTTGGCTCAAAATTCGTGCCACCCGCAGAAGGGTAGAACTATATCGGAGCTGGCACTAACAAATATGGCACTATATCGCGACCCCCCCCCCCCCCCCCTGTATTTGGTAATTTGACCGGCACCAGAAAGACCAAGTAACGCGTACGCGGCAACGTTGATGGGGAATGATGAGGAATTGACGCACGTTGGGGAGGGGCCTTTGTGCGCCTTTGGAACCGCAGTTGATTGTGCCCGCTTCTTGGTTGAGTTGACAGGCTTTGAGGCCTTGCCACTTTTCATGCTTCCCAGACTTTTTTGTGCCCTCAGCTTTTTCGCTTCTGTTTACTGTTCTTTCTGCAGTTCTCTTTGTTTTGTTCGCTGTTCGCTGTAGCCGATCCTCCTCAATTTTTTCTTCTTCCTGCGCGCAATAAATCGCCAAATGTCAGATAAATTGCCGGCGTCCCGAGCTGAATCATTTCTTTTCTGCCCGTGTGACTCTTTTCTCTTGGTACTTGTGGCCTGGGAGCACTTGCATTCATAACAATCTTGTTAACGCTATCATGATTTTTAGGAGTATCTCTGCCCCTTTTATTGCAAGTGAAGCGGACTTTTCGTCGTTGACATTTTCCTTCAGCTTTTCGAAGACGAGGAGGCAACATTGCAGGGAACTGTAGACGTGGTGAATGCTCCAAGCCCCAGAGCGTTTCCCTGGAGTCCAGGGATGAATGACTGTACCCATTGTCCGCACTGAGTTTACCTCAGCGGCATGCTTTCGTACAGTGGGAGCAACGAGAACTGAGGGCCGGTCACGTTCTTGAGGATGGCGTGTCGGGCAAGCCTGTTCAACAATTACTAACGTAATGGAAAGGACACCTGTCCACTACTAACGTAAGGGAAAGGCGTGTACTTACATTAAAAAAATTAATAAATGACCGGCAAACTCGGACAAGCAAAGCAAACCCGGGCAAGTTAAGACACACCCTTAGAGGTGAAGGAATGTAATTTACGAGGACGAAGAGTTTCGGCGATTTGTGTCAACAAAGGCAGACGAAAGGCAATATGTTTATAGTCCCGAGTCTCGTGGAAGATCAGTATCCGGGTTGTTATATCGTCTATTTGAAAAGCCACAGTCACTGCCATCATCGCAATACAGTACCACCATTTGCGACCCGTTTCGCCAGAATCGCCGCCCACGTCGTAGAATCCGATTGCCCACCCGGGTAACACTGCATGTATTCATCACAAATCGACAAACAGGACATGGATGCTGTTGGAGGTTATGAACAGCATCCAGAAAATAATCCTTGTTGAGAAAAATACTCTTCACATAGAACCGGCCCTTTTCGGCAGTACAGAGTACCAGCGGGATTTGGTGTTTTAATTCATTTGGCACATGTTTGGTGTTTCCGAATCGCAGATATGTTTCCAGCTAGCAAGATTGTTTTATTCGGGCGGGGAGGCGGTTCCAAGTCAATTGGTTTGAAGCGGACAAATATCGGAGGTGAAGCAAAGTAACTGAAGCAAGGCCTACCAAAAACAAACAAAGGTGGCAACGGAGTTAAAAGTTACGTAGTGTGAAACAACATCGGTGGAAGATTTGCTCGAGAGAAGACCATCACCCATTCGGCAGGCCGTCTCTTGCACTCACCAACGGCACACCTCCATGCCGTGCTGTCGCCGATCTCAATAATTTCCCGTTGAAAATATTCTCCCAATGATGCAATCTCAATGGTCCTCCTCACCCGCCGACCCATCCCCCTCTCCACTCTCCCTCCCTCCCTCCAACACATCTGATCTCTCCCTTCCATCGCGCTCCCGGTCTCCACCCCCAGTCCCGCACCATGCCTCGTCTGCAGGGTCCGCACATTTTTTCGGACGCCGGCCTATGTCGCGAGTGCGCGCGCCCGCAAGCCGAGCATCGCCCCATCGCGTGCGGGTATCCGCGCAAGGACTACGAGCATCGCACCCCGTGTGACGGAATCTGCATGTACCGCAAGAACCTAGACGACGGCTTTCTCGTCTGCTGCTCCGTCTGTCCCCACTGTGGCATCCCGCCCATCGACGACCCCAACGACGAGTGCGAAGAAGAAGACGACGTGCCCCACGAGCACCAGCTTGACGCCCACATTCCGAACGCCCCAGGTCAGAATGGGGAGGCGAACCACCTACCCAATTGTCAAGGCGTCCCGGAGAATGAACACCCAGTACATCCCGAAGAGCAACCCCCAGCACCGGGACAAACGGGACATGCCGGAAATGCTGACGGGCTTGCCGCGTAGCTTCTGGTACCATTGGACTTATGTTTGGGAGCCGAGGCCTCATAGCTGCGGTCGTGATCAGCAGATAAGAAAACCGTTGCCGCCTGAGACTCGAGCGTCCAAGTGCCACGCTAGATTCCAGAAGCTTTGGATGTACGAAGCATCATGTTGTTGACCGACAGATATGTTCCTGCAATGCTGATGTTGCTGTGTGCCGAGTACCAGGTCATGACAACCGCTCGGGCACTCTGCATTGATGTTCGGGCGGAGGCAGGTACGCGCAAACTCGTGGTACGGCCAAATGGCGGTGCGAGTGGCACCGCGCTCTCCATTGCTAAGCGGAGCGAACGTCTCCCTGGAATGACACTGGCACAGAGTGTGTATATATGCCGATAACTTACGGAACTTCTTCAGGACCGCTGAACAAATTGATTTGCTAGTATCAGTCCTCATGAGACATGCAAATGAAGAGGTAGTGTCGTCGTTGTGGAGGGCGACGATACGCTGCCAACGGACACAAGCGATGTCCTCCGCCATAGAACTATATAGCTGTTGGAAGAATGTGTTGGTAATGCGAGTGAAGCATCATTCAATTCTTTTCTTTTGATCAACATCCCTGCCTTCGCTTTGCAGACGCTCATGAATATGAAGACGACAGGCTCACGCGACTGATAGTCTGCTTCTAACAGGGAGACTATTCTTCAAACAGGGAACATTATTAGGGTTAGATACACCGCTCGCTCTTTACGCACAAATGTCTCTAGTGATTGTTGACTGACTGATTATGAAGATATGTGTGGTGTTCACATGCGAGAAAAAGTAACCAGTCTCTGACGTCTTTGTATTGGTTTGCGTCAACGGTGATAATCTCCACTAACAGGATAATCTTACAGGATAATCTTCCAGAAGATTTATTCTGCGCAGTTACGCTGACGCGCAGCGAGCCATTATAATTCTTCTGTCCAGCTGGGAAGGTGTGCAGCGTCTTGATTATTGTTTGGTGTCAAGCAGGGAACGCAAGATTTCTGCCAGTTGCTTGATTGGAGAGTCACAGATTCCTTCTCGTTTCATACTGTCTGCAATTGGAATCGACTTCGACGCTTAGCCGTGCACTTTGGGGCCATCAGCAATTTTGCTATCAGCAATTTTGTTGGTGGCGCTGAGCTCATGGACCGAACGGAATAGGACCTCCGCGGGGTCCATCCCGCAAGCATGGCCGCACATCGTCCGGGGATGAATAGTTACTCCGCATGCACTTGAACCAATGAAAGCCTGTCAAGCCGCAAAAGGTTATCGACACGTTCGAGTTACAATTCCTTGCAACAACTGATTCAAAGTGTTTTTGTAATCGCCGGTAGTCTGTCATTTCTAGTTTTGTGTGTAGTGATGAATGGTTCAACCCGTCTTCTTTTGGAAATGCTGGACTAGTGAGCAAATGTCATAGGCTGTTCTCATTTTCGTTGTCCTAAATGTTTGGCACTGAATGCTTCGGTCTGTAGTAAAGTGGAAATCACCTTTCATATATGCTCATTTCACGAACAATTTGCAGAGTTTTGCTGGCGTTTATGTCCTTGTCAATATTGACGTTCAGTCAAAGTGATTCGCGGACGTGTATTCTGAAATATAAGCGCCTCTGTCTCCCCGAACTCTCACGTGGTGTCCTATGCTTCTATCAGCATTAATAGAGTGGGGTAGACCAATTCTAGAAACTCTCAGCTTCTTGGGACACTCTGACACATTCCTTCTCACTCAAGGGCGAATATAAGGGGAAAACGGGCAAGACAAGTGAAGGAGAGCACAGGATTCTGCATGCCAAGCACGTCATGAGTGGGAAAGCAACGCGGTTTCCATTCCTATAGGCAACAAAAACAAATTCAATTGCCTCGGCTAGACGCAATAAGGGGCCACCCTCCTTTTATCAATACGTTCTTACGAGATCCTCTTCCAACTGTGTCACATTTGCTGTTCTCATGAGACCCCACCTTCATACCGCAGGTTTTACGCAAAATACCTCTAGATCTGTTTGGGGGATACACATACATCACATGAGATCTCGGGACGCTGAATGACATGCCCTTCTGCGCTGTATCAGTCTCTTAAGTCTCCCATAAGAAGAACAGGAGGGGTACCAGCCATCCTGGTCTCTTCAACTGTTGCAGCGTAGTTCTCTAGAACACGATCGCCCGCACAAGTACTGGAAAGTTTAAATATATGTGCCGTTTACACGAAGCGTGAATCAATAAAAGAAATCTCTCCGGTAGCCTTTGATAAGAATAAACGTCAGTAAATAGTATTTACTAAATACTGATGCTTCCATTATCTTTCTTTTAGACTTCAGCCGAGCGCATTGCAAAATTATTGCCTTCACTTCCTACCAAGCACGCGAATGCGAGTACCGTAGCCTTCGGAAGTCAATATGAATAAGTTCCATCTACATTTCATACATTTCGATCAAGTTCACGATGTTTCTGTAAGGCGGAACTAGAGACAGAGAATTACTGGAGCGCGCGGCTTTATTCGGCGACAGTGTTTGATGGCATTTCTGATGATGTGCAGTGACGATTATGCTTCTACTGGCTTCGTTCACACAGAATCAGCACCGCGCAATACTTAAGCCGGCCTAACATCCACGGTTTCCCAACAAGAATGCTAGTCTTTACAATCTGACAGAAACGCGACTAAGTTTCATCAACTCTTTTTGATGATTCGAAAGCTAACTTGACACCTCTCTCCGCCTCGCTCGATCAACTTTCCCTCTTCCAGGCGTTGCTGACGAAAACAACAGCTTGTTAAACAACCATTCTTATCTGCCTCAGCATTATCCCGCGACCACGATTCCGTCAATTGGTGACCGTATTCGGATTGTTAACTTTACGAAACCTCTTACTCTCCGGATTTTATTCAAATCGCACATCGGCAGAAAGGAGTTGGGATTTGATTGTAAGGCTTGACGGGAAAGCATTGCTCCAGTTACCCTCAAACTCCTCTGAAAATGCCTCTAAAGGGGATCAACATCTACGACTCATCAGGGAACTGCCGCAAATGTGGTGGAAAGGAGAGGCAACACCGAAGCTTTGTCTGTCAGCGACAAGGCGATCATCTACCTTGTTTGTTTGTTTCGCTCTACCGACGACATGGGTCGGGAGCGATGACACTATGTTCTGTCTGTCCTCGTCACAACCAACCACCGCTGGGAATGCGTGACCGCGAGAACTCCGTTTCGAGGAGAAGATGATCAGGAGTGTAGAAAGTTAAAGGAGCGCAAGTTTGCAAGCATCATTTTCCTAAATGTATAAACGCCTGCGGGGCATGTTTGCAGAACTTTTATTCCGCATTCCCTCGATCTTAACGATTTCCTAGCTTCTTGACTCTTCAATCTGTTCGACACTAATTATTGAGCTGTATCATATCTATGTGCGCAATATCGACAGACAACAACTCGTGCTTTAATTTTCTTGTTCCTACATAAGAAGACTTGCCATTCGTATCGGCGGAAATTTGACGAGAACGAAAGAGGCGATGAGCGAATACCGAGAGATTTTGTACCATGGTATCCCTTTTTTGGCAAGTGCCTTCACTCGAAAGCACAAATCGCATTTGACCCAAGTGCATTGGGGAATCATCCAAGGTAAGCATGTCACGAGGGAAAATGCGTCATGCGAAGAGGTGGTAAACGTGTTTCTAGGCGTGGGACGTTTCGCATGGTGGGCGCATTGAAAGTGCCATCACCGCGGATTCCTTAGTCTTGGATAGCCGGAACAACATGCGGTGTCTTCGTCGTTGGTCTGAGCAATTGTCGCCCCTGCCCCGGGACGTGTGGAAGCGGGCGGCGGGTTAGCGGCTTCCGAACTGCTAACACTTCCGAGTATCTGGAAGTGTCGAGGGTGCGCCTGGCCGTGCACGTACAACGCGGCCCAATGAATGGATCTCAAGAAGAGAGATCAAGCGCAGGAAAGAAATGGCCAAAAGTAACCGGTCATGGGCGTGCGCGTTGAAATTTTTGGCACGAAAAATCAAAACTCTGTGAAACGCCCTTGGAACGACCCTTCCATTGTACCTACAGTAGCTAGTGTGACTTGACAAGCCATTTGCCTTGTCTGAGGCAAGCTTTTTAGCTATTACATATATGCATTAAACCGACCTATGAGACCGAACACTGATTGCAACGGAATGATGTTGCCAGAATCTAAATATATACGTATCGGAGAAGAAGCTATCATTACCGTATGGCCATACCTAGTGGAGTGAAGCGCTTGGTCATTCGAAAAGCCCGGCTATCTAGAGCCAACCTAAATATCGATTAGAAAGATAAACGTCTCTTCCTGTAAGAAGAAAATGGACTAAAAACTCTCGACGTAGGGGCCTATCGGCATGGGTAATCCTGCAGTACATGCATGTTGGCAATTATGTACTGCAAACCACTACTAGGCCGTTTCCAACCATCTGCTTCTTTTTCGGATTGCCATTCTCATTATAGGAATCGGACCAAACTTTCTGGCGGTTATCTTTTCAAAACGAGGGTTCTGCCTACTTTTGCCACGCTTAAAACGCAGAATGAGCTATTCGTACTGGTGTGTATGTCTCTAAAGTAGAAGTGATTCGTGTGTACTTAAAATAGATAATGTGCAAGTGTGCTTGAGGAGGGACGGACCGCAAGGACAGACTGTCCGCATTGCAGTCTGTAATTTGCGGTACTTAGACACACGAAACGGCGACAGCGAGTAAAGATGACCCTATGAGGATTAATATTCTCATCATGTTATGGCCCGCTTTGCACCACTACGCACTACAACCGACTGAACCAAAATGGATCGCGCTACACGCACTCGCAGACGTCGAGCATCTGCACTGCACACAGCCGGAAAGGAACGACCACACACACGCCTACGTCGAAACCTCTCCGAATCCTCATCAATCAACATCCCGCTCTACCCCTCCGAACTCCTTTACATTCCCCTCCACCCAAACAACCCACCGTCCTTTCAGTCACCCACACAAACATGGGCCTCAAATACATCCCCAAGCTCGACCGAT